AAAAAACCCTAGTGCAAAATGTTAATTTGTTTTCTTTTTTTCAGCCATGGCATTGTCTGTGTGTACAAAGGCTGTTGATTTTTGTGCATTGATTTTATACCCTGCTACTTTGCCAAACTCTTCTATGAGTTCCAATAGTCTCTTAGTAGAGTTCTTTGGGTCCCCTAAATAAAGAATCATGTCATCTGCAAAGAGGGATAGTTTGAGTTCTTCCTTCCCAATTTGTATCCCTTTAATTTCTTTTTCTTGCCTAAAAGCTCTGGCTAGAACCTCCAGAACTATATTGAATAGCAGTGGTGAGAGTGGGCATCCCTGTCTGGTCCCAGATCTCAGTGGAAATGCTTCCAACTTTTCCCCATTCAATAGGATGTTGGCTGTGGGTTTTTCATAGATTGCTTTGATTGTATTGAGGAATGTTCCTTCCAAACCCAGTTTGCTTAGAGTTTTCATCATGAACGGGTGTTGTATTTTATCAAATGCTTTCTCGGCATCTATTGAGATAATCATATGGTTTTTCTTCTGCAGTCTGTTAATGTGGTGTATCACATTGATTGTCTTGCGCACATTAAACCATCCCTGCATACCAGGGATAAATCCCACTTGGTCTGGGTGGATGATCTTTCTGATGTGTTGTTGCATTCTACTGGCGAGAATTTTATAGAAGAATTTAAAGGACAGGTATATTGAAAATTTTACTTTCTAGAGGACAAGCAAACAGACACAACTGATTTCTGTCTAAACATTAGAAGACAGGGAGATTTGAGAGAGATGAGAAAACAATCAGAATTAATTTCTCAATTAGCAAAATACATTAGACTAGGAATAACATAGTATGCATCTTTTCACTACATAAAAATAATTTAAAAAATAATTTCCCAAGTTTTCACTAATATCTACTGAAGTTAATGGGCCTTATAAAGGATATAAATAGTGAGAAAAGAAAAAAGTACAGAAAGTATTTGAAAACTATTCCACTTTCTCAGTATTATAACAATTTTTTAACTGTCTCAGTAGTAGATAGGAGCTCTATAAGAAAAGAACAAAAAATGGAAATGATTAATGAATTGCCACTTCAACACATCAGCAAATTCGTATAGCAGAGAAACTGCACTTGGTACTGTATTTGAAACCCTTACACCTCTGCTGCTCTAGACAATAACCTATTTTCTTCAGAGAACAAACTACTGAATGATAATTCAATTCATATTAATAACTGAAGTAACATATATGCATATGTGTGCAAACAAGGGTATAACATTCCTTTATTATTGTCTTTAGAACTCAAGAACCACTAACATCACATATACTGCAGTATAAAATTTAGCTATCCTGAATTTTCTCCTATATATTATTTGACTCTTTATTCTGATATGTAGACATGTGGAAAATGATGATACAGAAGCCAGAAATCCATGATGAACACTAATGGATAAATAGTATGTGGTTGAACAGCTGTGCTAGTTGCTTCCTTTCATGTAGACAGCTATATTGTTTTACCTTTCTTTTATACGAGGGTAATTTTTATCTATCTCCATGAAACACAACTGGCATATTTCCACAAAATCCATAAAATGACATGAAGTTTCAACATAAAAATCAACTTAATAGCAACTTTGGCATTTACTCCCAATTTTCAGACTTATCTTTTAATACCAGCTCGCCAGATGCTGTAGATGTGTCAGCAAAGAGTTAAATGGTTGTTGATATAGGGTATACAGGAGCAAAATTCTTGGTAAGTGAACAGATCAATTTCAATATCAGGTATTGATGGAATAATTTAATTAAAATATTTATTGAGTCATTGATATTTGGAGGACAGAAAGAGAGAACAGGGCATTTATTAACTTGCTGTCCCTGTGCTCCTCTCATAAATCAAACTTGAAAAAGAATGTGAGCTTAAACTGGAAAAATTATACATTAATTATCTCACAATAAATCACAATATTCAGCCCACAAAGACAGTTACATAAAGAGAAACAAAGCAAAGTGAAGAATATGACTAAAGCAAAACTCCAAAGTGTTTTCTTTTGAGGGTGGATAGGTTAAGGACAGATTTTTCAGGTCTAATTTACATGCATCAAAATAGAATGTAAACAGTGATAAGGAAAAATAATAACTATATTTAAAGTTTTTCACATTCTAAATTGAAGTAAACTATTGAATTTCCCTTTGCTTTCCTCCTTCTTATTGAAAAGCTCTCCCAATAAGTAGATCCTTTTTGCATTTGTGAAATAAATAAAGCAATACAGTTTGCCAAAAAAAGTTACATCTCATTTGAAGACTAAGGGTTGTTCCTAGTAAGAAACCTTATAAATTTGCAAGCTTGATCATTTATTGTACTGTTTTGAAAATGATCAGATACCTTTTTTTAAATGATATTGAAATGAAATAATAGGATTCTGTCGATTCTAATCAGACTGTGTTTCCACAGCTTTTATATTGTTAAATTTGGTTGAATAATAACAAAACTCACAGTATTTTAAATGACATATGAAAAATCATAAATACAAATTGAGTAGAAAGTAATTATATAGTAGACTGCCAGAATAACAAAAATATATCTTTGGATTTCAGAACACTCTGCTAAAAATAAAATGGTTGTTCTTCTGGCTCTGTGACTACTTTGCTGTGTGTTCTCTGATAACCAGGGAATTATATCTTCCTTTGCAAAATTAGAGAAGAGGCTTAACTCCCCCAAAATCCTCCTATTTTCCAAGTTCTCTCATATTGCATTGTGATTATGTCTGTTAGTTCCAACTCTGTCTCTATTGTTCATCTTTACTCTTTTACTCCTTATCCCCTTGTTTATTCTTCCAAATTTCTGTTCCTAGTTTTGAGTATGTATATCTGTTGATTAATCAGAGGGAATGAAAAATTTATGTGTGGCTTATGTTAAACAAAGTATTCACTTTTGAAAAATTTTCACCAATACGATTTTTTTTTTTAATTTTTTTTTTTTTTTTTTTTGACAGGCAGAGTGGACAGCGAGAGAGAGAGAGAGACAGAGAGAAAGGTCTTCCTTTGCCGTTGGTTCACCCTCCAATGGCCGCCGCGGCCGGCGCGCTGCGGCCGGCGCACCGCGCTGATCCGATGGCAGGAGCCAGGAGCCAGGTGCTTTTTCCTGGTCTCCCATGGGGTGCAGGGCCCAAGCACTTGGGCCATCCTCCACTGCCCTCCCGGGCCACAGCAGAGAGCTGGCCTGGAAGAGGGGCAACCGGGACAGAATCCGGCGCCCCGACCGGGACTAGAACCCGGTGTGCCGGCGCCGCTAGGCGGAGGATTAGCCTAGTGAGCCGCGGCGCCGGCCTCACCAATATGATTTTAAGGCTGGTAATATTTAGTGTTTGAATGCAATGTTTAGGAAACATTTATCTTTAAATCATAAATTTTTTTCTTATAATATTAATTTTATTTTCATTTAAAATGAAATACAAGATATTTTGAATGAACCAAAGTGGAATTAAGGGATTTTTTTTTAACATTTTATCTGATGATTAGACAGAAACACTTGCAATGAAATACATGCTGCATCTAAAAAAATAATTGCACTTGTATTGGATTTGCCGAACAGTGTGTTAAAAATGTTGGTGTGAGGAGCTGTTGTTTGATCTTGCACTCAAGATGATTTTGGGAAACCAGCATCCTGTAGAAGTGCCTGGGATGGAGTCCCAATTTTGCTCCCAATTCCTGCTACCTGCCATTATGCACCCTGAGTAAAAATGGCAATGGCTCAAAATAGCTGGATCCCTACTTGAATTCTGGCCTCAAGCTTTAGTTTGGCATCAGTTCCACTTGTTTTGGACATTGGAAGAGTGAACCAGAGAATGGGAGCTTTCTCTTTCTTTCTCTCACTGTCACTTTCTGATCTCGAATTAAAAAAGTAAAAAGCATAATCTCATTGATAGTGCTAAACAAATGCTGCAAATGCACTGATTTCCTATTTTAATATTAAAATTTGCTAGAAGCCTTATTGACAAGTGTGCATGTCCAGGAAGAGACATGTAAAGACTGGTTTTTCTTTAGACATAATTCATGGATTAGAGTCTGTTATCTGTTGGTTTATTACCCTCAGTTTTTCATTAAATTCATCTCCTTGTTTGATTTTCACTTAATCTGATACCACATCTGATGATTTCTAAAATTTTATCTTTTTGTTTATGAATCTTTCTTGGTGTCAGTAGGAGTCATAATTTCAGGTAAGCATATGTACTGAAGGTAAATAAGCCTGGAGATACAGATGAAAGGGACACATAGGCAGACAGCAGCCGAGTCCGAGACAGAGGGAAATTTTCTATGGAAATAGCTTGAGCATTATATCTTAAAATGTGCCTTCCCATCATCCTAATAGTTAACTGGAGAATCCATATCATTTGGCCATTTTAAATGTGTCTAGTTCTGTGATTCCTAGGATATTATATTGAAACTATTTATTGGCTTATTTCTTTGCTGTTCTACAAACTAGTTGATAGGCATAGATCACTCTTCATCTTTGCATGATCATTAAAAAGCATAGGACACATTAGGTAGGCACTTTCACATTTATTTGATGACTAATTAAAGAAAAATAATAGTAGATTATGTTAAATTTAATTTTTTATGGGATTTAGTAGTTCAAAAGGATTACTAAATTTGCTTTGAATGTTGGGTCTAACTTTGAAGATTATTATGTATTTCTATAACTTATTTAAAACAATAAAAGGGATGGTGCTTAGTCTAGCAGTTAGGAATGTTTATTCTACTTTGGATTACCTAAAATATATTCTCAGCTCTGGCTTCTAATTCCAACTTCCTTCAAATGAAAACTCTGGAAGGCAGCAGTCATGGTTCAAGTAATTGGATTCCTGCCAATCATTTGGGAAACATGGATTATGTTCTCAAATTCCGAATTTGACCCCAGCCATGCCCAGGCAATTGTGGGCAACTTGAAAGTGAAGCTTAGCTTCTGAGAGGTTCTCTCTCTCTCCCTCAGTCTCCCCCCAATGTCCCCCCAACCGCGCTTTCTCGCTTTCTGTCTCTTTCCCCATCATAACCCTGCAAAACTGAAGCACTCTTCCTGAGCCACTCAGAGATCAGAATCACTCAGAGCTCAGAACTGGGGTAGCCCATTTTGCGTAGGGAACTCAATAGTACCCTACCAAGTCCACAGTGGTGTTAGCATTTGGCAGATGTCACCTCATCCAGTGATTCTGGTGATTGCATTATTCTTTCTTTGGACCTCTTGTTCTTCTCTACCTGTCTGGATGAACAACATATCTGTCTCTCATCTCCATAATTCCCCCTTCTGAAGAGATGTCCCTAATTGTCATAAGGGAAAAAGGAAACAACTGCTCTGACTGTCTCAAGCTGGAAAAGTACAGTATTGAGGGATGGGTCAGGGTTCTTTCAGAGTCCTATCTTGGAGTCTCCTGTAGAACAAATTCTGCATGCGAGGTTCCAGTTTCATGACCACCCAGTTTGATTAGACAAAAGGAAATTATGTTAGTAGGACAGTTAAGGAGGAATGGGCTAAAGAGTAGGATCAAGAATATGATAAGGAGGACATATAGAAAAAGAGATAGGAGAGATCATAACCAAAATTTCCATCTTCCAAATTTTCTCAGTAGTAGCTGCCATTGGATTCTGGAAGTTCTTGTAGACCTAAAATACTTAAAGCTCTTCCATTAACTACTCACTCAACGACCCATTTAAGTTTGCCCTTGAGCAATTATAAATACATTTAGAGCATTTTAGGGAACTGTTATAACAAGGACAGCTATAAGACAACAATGCATAAGAAGCCTTCTTCCATAACCTCTCAGCTTTATGTATTGGTTTAGGGTTGACACCAAAGATTTTATCTTAACTCCCATATTCCCTCCTTGTCATCTTTTTCTTGAAAGCACCATTGACTAGTCATTTTACAGCTAGACTCTATTTGTCCTAGGTTGCTGGATGTACTTGGTCCTGGTTGTTTGGTGTTATCTGGTCCCATGCTGAGAGGGAGGGAATTGATGGCCTGGAGTCAGAAACACTTTCATCTACATTTGAGCAATAAAGAGGTTTTAGGAAAAGTGGATCTTAGGCTGATTATTTCTGGAATTTACTGTTTATCTAAAAATGTCAGGCCATCATTATCCCACTGGTAGTTGTACTTAGAACTCTGACAGACCATAAACACACTGTTCAAAATAAAAATTAAAATCAAGTTAGTATGTTAAAAAAAATGAAGTTATATGGTAATGGCAGACCCAGAGAACTCTCAAGGTTAGCCAGCCTAAACAATGAACAATTACATTTTTTTTTTTTTTGGACAGACCATGTAGTCCTTTTAAAGTAGTCTTGAATTGTTATTCATATAACAACATAAAAACATGCTTTTCAACAGACCCAAGTAGTACTTTACATAGAATCTAAGACACCATGGGTACTTAAGGTGATTTTTAAAACACTATTTCATCTTTACCCAATTTGTACTTGGCAATTATATATAGATAAAGAAACCAAGATATTAGACAAGCATATTTATCATTTTAATTGTTCTCTTGCCAAGAATAAGTCAGAATATCCAAGATTGTTTCAAAAAAGGTAATGAGCAAAGAGAAGAAAGGAAAGGCTTTCAAACTTTGTAGGAGACAAAGGGAGGTCCTAGGATTAAAGACAGAGAAAGACATTTAAAAAAAAAAAGTCACTCAATGATTCTAGCCAACAGATACTTAGTGTTTCAAATATGAGGGCCATCTTGCCTTATTAGGAAGTTGCCCTAACCAACGACCTTCAGTTCAGCTTTACTCTGATTTAATATCCCCAGATAAACAATGGAAGACAAGTTTGAGGAATAGCAATGTGTACCCTAATGGTGACAATTGAGAGCCACAGGAGACAATATATACTTTCACAGACCATGGCTTTGCCTTGTGCATGGTAGAGGCTAGGATCCATCTAGGCTACAACCAGGTAATCCTGACACAGGGGATTTCCAGAGGCAGTGTCTTTTTGGCATTTAACTGTCCAACTTGTGCCCACAATGAGGCTGTTGCCAAAATGAGACAGTGATAGGAAAGGAAGAAGCATATGAAAACTTTTGAGGTTCCCCAAATAGGGCTTAAGCAGTAAGGATAGGCAGTAAGGATTTCACAAGGAGAGTAGAAGTGGACCTCTAGAAAGGGCTCAACTTAAAGTCCAAGAAAAACAAGTACAGAACCTCTTCCCAGGGCAACAAAGCAAAAATACATTCCATTAAGACAGAGGAGTGGACCTCTGTGAAAGTTTATGTCTCTGAGTTTAATTTGGGCTGTTATCTTACATTCAAATTTTTAGAGGAGAGAAGGAGTCATTGTGATGGAGACACCTGCCACCTAACAGAGGTCCTGGGAGAAAAGATGCTGCCATCCTGGGCTGAGAGATATCGCTGGGGTCTCTGGTCAGGGATAATACCTCATGTGTTTCTCAAGGTTAGTTTTAGCTGCTGTCTCCCTGGGTTGGTCTTTATTTCATGTATGCCAGTAGGCCATCTTTGAGCAATCTGCTTTTATTCTTTTTAAGGGGTGAGGAGCAAATGGATCCCAGTGTCCACATCTCAGATCCATTACTCAGAGCATTCCCTAGCACTCAAAGTGAAATGAAAGGGAAAAAGAAGCCCTCCAAGGCTCCCTTATTCCACTTGTGTTTGATTCAAGGTATCCCTTGAACCCCTGAATTGTGAGTGTGTGTCATCTTGTTACTCTAGGGATGTGAGAAGGCCAAAGCAGCAGAAGTAGATGTCCTCACCTGCCTCTGACTTTGACCTTCCACCTCCAACATCTGTGTCCCTTGATCCTGTAGATCATGAGTATATTTGCAACCTGACACCAGGATCAAAGAGTGTTAAGCCAGCAAAAGTAGTCGGAGGACTTTCTGGGCATGGAATTTCTAAAATTCCTCCCAGAGCATCATCATGGACCTAACTGCCCCCTTGGTGCAGAGTGAGGAAGATCCCTCTAAACTGTCCCTGGGAGAGGACTGAGACTCACTTTACAAAGTTATCAAACAAGGCAAGACTTTTGATGTGTAACGCTGGACTGTTTCCAAGGCATGCTTCTACATTTCTTTTGTCATTCCACTGCCAACTTTCCTCAAAAATTTCCTATTATCTTCAGCTTCTTTTATGCACCTTAATCTAATGTCTACCTAGGCACCTTAACATTAATAATGAAGTAACACCTTGACAGAAGGGACTCCATTTTAGAACACCTGGGACTCCAGGGACTCCATCTTGAGAAAGCATGCCCCCACTATAAGACTCTGGTCTGAAACTATGATCTTAACACTTAGACAATAATGATACACTGCATCCCACTTGGAAGAACACAGAAATTGCCTAGTATGCTTGCTCAAGCTTAAAACAGAAAGCCTAGGGGCTGGCACTGTGGAATAGTGGGTAAAGCTGCTGCTACCTGCAGTTCCAAGATCCCATATGAGTGCTGATTTGAGTCCCACTTCCAATCCAGCTCTCTGCTATGGCCTGGAAAAACAGTAGAAGATGGCCCAAGTCCTTGGTCTCCTGCACCCACATGGGGGACCTAGAGGAAGCTCCTGGGTCTTGGCTTCGGATTGGCATAGCTCCAGCCATTGCAGCTAGTTGGGGAGTGAACCAGCAGATGGAAGATCTCTCTCTCTCTCTCTGCCTCTGCCTCTCTGTATCTCTGCCTTTTAAATAAATAAATAAATCTTAAAACAGATAGCCTATACCTTGATTAATATTAAGGTTGTAATTTGTCCATTACAAGATTGAAATTGATATTAGTTTTTCAAAGGCTTTAGGTCAACTTGACCTTAGTAACCATGTATTCCCCTGATCCTAGCACCATGTATTCCCCCTCCCCTTCTTGTGGTTTTGTCTTTATAAACCCTGTTGTTTTGAGTTTCAGGGTCGAGAGTTCTTTAGGGTGTAAGATTGCTCTCCACCACCAGCAATAAATAACTGGCAAATTTTATCAATGTGTGGTGCTCCTCTGTTTGAATTTGCTCAGTTACAACATTTTGGAGGCCCCAGCGAGATATGGAGACCACTCTCTGGAAGACCTCTCTCCAATCCTCCCAGGTTGGTGCTCTGGACAGAGGGGAGGTGCTTCCTGAGTCCCATGTCCTGACTCACTGACCTGGGAGGCTCGGCTCCACCTCAGTGAACAATTGCGTTAATCCCACTTGTAAGTAGACATTTCTTTGGGGTATTGGAGGTCTGATGAGACACTAATACAGTCTCCTTTCCTTTTGAGCATTTCTGTGTTAGGATGGGAGACTCTGGTCTGATTAAACAAAGGCCTTTCCTGCATATAATTTGTTTTTGTCATTGTGCTAGTTGTCATCACTGTTATTCTTGTCTCTGTCTCCTACTTGAAACATTAGGGCAGGAGATTCTGGTCCGGCTAAAGAAAGGCTTATTAATGCCTCATGGATATAATTGGTTTATGTTCCTGTTTCGTGGCCACTTTCCAATGTACTGTTTGCATCCAAAATCCCAGAAGGTAAATTCTTTTAATTGTCCTGCCTGTCTCCTTTATTCCCTTGTCTCTGGAATCTTTCTGTCCCTTCCATCAAACATGGGTACTGATCCATCTATGTTGACACTTCTGAAATGTATATTCAAGAATTTCTCTCTTTTGAATCTAGAAAGATAACTGCCTTAAAAATTGCCTTGTAACTTGCCAAACTTGTTCTGTGACTTGGTTTTTACAGATCTGGATGAAAAACAGCAATGAGTAATTAGCTCTAAGGTGGGTTTTGCAGTCTCTGGTTTATGTCACTGATTTCCAGACAGAGTTTTATAAAAAGAGTAGAATTCTGAGTAGATATAAATTTGACCTAATTCAGATAAACATATGGTATAATATCAGCATCTTAAGTCATCTAGGTGTAATCACTGAATGTAAATTGAATAAAAATAAATGAGATAAATGTGTATAAATGTAAACTTTGCTACTCTTAGCACCTTATATTCTATGAAAAAACTATTTGAGTTTGTTAACAGAAATGTTTTCATAAACAGTTCATGTAGGAAAATAATTCAACAGTACTTTAAAGTAATTAAGGTTAAAATTTGATGTATTATTTAGAAAATGTCTTAATTTTGAGATTTTTTAAGAGAGGAGGCAAGATGGCAGAATAGGAAGGGAGCACACGGATAGTCTGGGGAGAGACAGTTTAATAAAAGTGGAGATACTGCAGATTCAAGGAAGAGTAGGGGAGGAAACAGCAGCAGAAACTCTTCCAGAACGCGTGATTCACAGTGGACCTGCGTGGAGAGCGTGGGAGCCCACAGTTCGGGACACCAGCAGCAGACTCAACACACCAGCACTGGAAGGCGAGGTGAGCCGAACCTCAATAGCCCGAGACACCAGCAGGCAAGCGGAGAGAGGAGACTAGAGGGAACGACCCCCGGGGGGGGGGGAACTTCACCAGGCTAACTGGAAGAGAGAGAGAGGAAAAAAAAGTGACTGATACAGACACGGGTTTCTCTCTCTCCGCTCACCTCTCAAAGGCGAGCAAGACAAAGAGCAGGCACCATCTTGGACATACGTCACAAGCAGGGTGACCTCAGGTCTGCACCGGCCCTGAGCCTAGCAGAAAAACCTGACTCTGGGTGGGGTGAATTAACAGGAGATTAGGACCTAGTAAATTTGTGGTGCTACTGAACTGAGACTGTGAAAAAAGAGACGGTGGGGGAGAGAACTCACGGAATTCACGTGAGTACTCACCAGAGACACTACAATTCTGTAACTTTGGCAACCCAGTGGGAGACTTAAGGAGAATTTGAGCCCACTCTGAGGGCAGAACAGATTCCCTGTGTGGTCCTTGGGAAAGAGCTTCCGATCTCTGGCTCCTGTGGGTACATCATTTGCCTGATAACTACCTCCAACTTCGTTCAGCTGTGCAGAATTACTTCCCTTTTGAATCAAAAAAAGAAAGAAAGAGAGAGAGAGAGATCTACCACGCCTAACCTGGGAGTGTCACCTTTGGCACACCAAACAGAGCTCTCAGGCCACACCCATCTCAAGCTTTTAAGGCTCCATCAAAAACAGACAGTCCACTTAATCTAGAGTCATAGTATAACAAGAAAAAGCACCACAGTGAAGAAACCAAATATCTCCAATATGCCAAATAACAAATGCAAAAACCAAGGTAATAAAAACAAGGAAGTCAATATGACGTCCCCAAATGAAAAAGACACCCCAATTCAAGATTATGAAGATGATGAGATAGAAGAAATGCAAGAAGCAGATCTCAAAAAATTGATAAGAACATTAAGAAGTTCTCAAAAACAAATTCTTGAACTACAGAAATCCTTAATGGACAAGATAGAAAATCTCTCTCGTGAAAATGAAATATTAAGGAGGAATCAAAATGAAATGAAAAAACTAGTACAACAGGAAACTATGATAGTGACGAGAAATCATAATGAAGTGAAGAATTCAATAGATCAAATAAAAAACACATTAGAGAGCCTTACAAACAGAATGGGTGAAGCAGAAGAGAGAATATCGGACTTAGAAGACAGAGAACAGGAAAGGATACAGTCAGACCAAAGAAAAGAAGAGGAAATTAGAAATCTAAAACATATTGTTGGGAATCTGCAGGATACTATTAAAAAACCCAACATTCGGGTTCTAGGAATTCCTGAAGGCATGGAGAGAGAGAAAGGATTAGAAGGTCTTTTTAGTGAGATATTAGCAGAAAATTTCCCAGGTTTGAAGAAGGACAGAGAAATCCTAGTACAGGAAGCTCATAGAACCCCTAATAAACATGACCAAAAGAGATCCTCACCACGACACGTTGTAATTAAACTCACCACAGTGAAACATAAAGAAAAGATCCTAAAATGTGCAAGAGAAACGTCAGATTACTCTCAGAGAATCTCCAATCAGACTCACAGCTGACTTCTCATCAGAAACCCTACAAGCTAGGAGGGAATGGCGAGATATATCCCGGGTACTAAGAGAGAAAAACTGCCAGCCCAGAATATTATATCCTGCAAAGCTATCATTTGTGAATGAAGGTGAAATAAAGACTTTTCATAGCAAACAGAAATTGAAAGAATTTGTCGCCACTTGTCCAGCCCTGCAACAGATGCTTAAAGATGTGTTACACACAGAAACACAGAAACACGGTCATCAATATGTAAGAAGGTAAAGGAAGGAAACCTCACAGCAAAAGATCACAGGGAATTCAAAGCATATATTAGAACTTATCTTTGGCAAATGGCAGGACAATGTTACCACTTATCAATAGTCACATTGAACATTAATGGCCTGAACTGTCCAGTTAAAAGACACCGATTGGCTGATTGGGTTAAGGAACAAAACCCATCTATTTGCTGCTTACAAGAAACACATCTTTCCAACAAAGATCCAAACAGACTGAAAGTGAAAGGCTGGAAAAAGATATGCCATGCCAACAGAAATGAAAAAAGAGTGGACGTAGCCATCTTAATATCGGACAACATAAACTTTACCACAAAAACTGTTAAGAGAGACAAAGAGGGACACTATATAATGATTAAGGGATCTATTCAACAGGAAGATATAACAATTATCAATGTATATGCACCTAACTACAGGGCACCGGTTTATCTAAAAGATTTGTTAAGGGACTTAAAGGGAGACTTAGACCCCAATACAATAGTACCTGGGGACTTCAATACTCCACTCTCAGAAATAGACAGATCAACAGGACAGACGATCAACAAGGATACAGTAGATTTAAACGACACTATAGCCCAAATGGATCTAACAGATATATACAGAACTTTCAATCCTACAGCTAAAGATTTTACATTCTTCTCAGCAGTACATGGAACCTTCTCTAGGATTGACCACATACTAGGCCATAAAGCAAGTCTCAGCAAATTCAAAAGAATTAGAATCATACCATGCAGCTTCTCAGACCATAAAGGAATGAAGTTGGAAATTAGCAACTCAGGAATCCCTAGAGCATATGCAAACACATGGAGATTGAACAACATGCTCCTGAATGAACAATGGGTCATAGAAGAAATTAAAAGAGAAATCAAAATTTTTCTGGAAGTAAATGAGGATAACAGCACAACATACCAAAACTTATGGGACACAGCAAAAGCAGTGTTAAGAGGAAAGTTTATATCAATAGGTGCCTACATCAAGAAATTGGAAAGGCACCAAATAGATGAGCTTTCACTTCACCTCAAGGATCTAGAAAACCTACAGCAAACCAGACCCAAATCTAGTAGGAGAAGAGAAATAATTAAAATCAGAGAAGAAATCAACAGGATTGAGCCATTCTAACTAGGGTGAGGTGAAACCTCATTGTGGTTTTGATTTGCATTTCCCTGATTGTTAATGATTTTTTTCATGTATCTGTTGGCCATTTGGATTTCCTCTTTTGCAAAATGTCTATTGAGGTCCTTGGCCCATCTCTTGAGTGGGTTGTTTTGATGTTGTGGAGTTTCTTGATTTCTTTGTAGATTCTTGTTATCAACCCTTTATCAGTTGCATAGTTTGCAAATATATTTTCCCATTCTGTTGGTTGCCTCTTCACTTTCCTGACTGTTTCTTTTGCAGTACAGAAACTTCTCAATTTGATACAATCCCAAATATTAATTTTGGCTTTGACTGCCTGTGCTTCTGGGGTGTTTTCCAAGAAGTCATTGCCGGTACCTATATCTTGCAGGGTTTTTCCAATGCTCTCTAATAATTTGATGGTATCAGGTAGTAGATTTAAGACTTTAATCCATGTTGAGTGAATTTTTGTGTAAGGTGAAAGGTAGGGTCTTGCTTCATGATTCTGCACATGGAAATCCAATTTTCCCAGCACCATTTATTGAATAGACTGTCCTTGCTCCAGGAATTGGTTTTAGATCCTTGATCAAATATAAGTTGGCTGTAGATGTTTGGATTGATTTCTGGTGTTTCTATTCTGTTCCATTGGCCTATCCATCTGTTTCTGTACCAGCACCATGCTGTTTTGATTACAACTGCCCTGTAGTATGTCCTGAAATCTGGTATTGTGATGCCTCCAGCTTTGTTTTTGTTGTACAAGATTGCTTTAGCTATTCGAGGTCTCCTGTGTCTCCATATGAATTTCAGCATCATTTTTTCCAGATCTGAGAAGAAGGTCTTCGGTATCTTGATTGGTATTGCATTGAATCTGTAAATTGCTTTTGGGAGAATGGACATTTTGATGATATTGATTCTTCCAATCCATGAGCATGGAAGATTTTTCCATTTCTTGGTATCCTCTTCTATTTCTTTCTTTAAGGTTTTGTAATTTTCATCGTAGAGATCCTTAACATCCTTGGTTAAATTTATTCCAAGGTATTTGATTGTTTTTGTAGCTATTGTGAATGGGATTGATCTTAGACATTTTTCCTTAGCCGCGGCATTGCCTGTGTATACAAAGGATGTTGATTTTTGTACATTGATTTTATATCCTGCTACTTTGCGAATATCTTCTATGAGTTCCAATAATCTCTTAGTAGAGTTCTTTGGGTCCCCAATAAATAATTGTATCATCTGCAAAGAGATTTAAAAAGTTAGAAAGATTAAGTAAGTTACAGAGGCCTGAAAATGTCACAGAGGCCGGCGCGGCGGCTCACTAGGCTAATCCTCCACCTAGCGGCGCCGGCACAGCGGGTTCTAGTCTCAGTCGGTGTGCCGGATTCTGTCCTGGTTGCCCCTCTTCCAGGCCAGCTCTCTGCCCTGGCCTGGGAAGGCAGTGGAGGATGGCCCAAGTGCTTGGGCCCTGCACCCCATGGGAGACCAGGATAAGCAACTGGCTCCTGCCTTCAGATCAGCACGATGCACTGGCCACAGTGTGTCAGACATGGCAGCCATTGGAGGGTGAACCAATGGCAAAAGGAAGACCTTTCTCTCTGTCTTTCTCTCTCACTATCCACTTTGTCAAAAAAAAAAAATAAAGTCACAGAAGGTTATGAAAAATTTTCCAGATACAAAAGCTATTATTCCAGTTTTCTTTGACATAGAATTATAATCTGATCCTCTGTTAAAACAATTAGACTTTTGTAATACATATATGTTAGTAAATATTTTAAAATTATCCTTAAATTCTATTTTAAACTGTAATATTTCCTTTTAACATTTTCAGTTTTCTATCAGGTTTCAGTAAGCTCTCTTCTCTATTTCTGACTCTTAAGATTGTTTCAGGCTATATACACTCCTATATTCAAGGTTTTTATTTCCCATTTTGGTGACAGATGAGACATCAATTTTGTATCCTACTGAGGTAATCATTGGGTTCTCTATCTCTCCTTAAGTTCTGCTTGTTTAAAAATAGCTGAGTTTTTATTAAACGAGTTATGGTTTATTTAAATATATTCTCATTATAAACATTTGAGTAATCATTTTGTAACTATCAATAAATCTCATCTATATTATGCATGATGTTAAGAGATCCTATTTCTACCAGATATAGAAATAGGGTATTTCAAGATTTCTAGGCATTTTTGACAGTCATTCAAAAATTCAAAGTTCTAAACATCAACTAATTAGGCTGTTCGGGTTATTTTAAAGATACTGTCAAGATGTGAAGTGGTGCTAAATTTTAATTCATTATAATTTGAAAATGCTACTGATACAAATGTCCAAAATTTATAAAAGTCTAATGATTTTATTGTGTTATCAGTCATGATGATTATCTTAATGAAAAAGGCTCAGAGGCCTAAAAAGGGTTAATGTTTTATAAAATCTTATAGGTGCTTTCTAAAATTTTTTGTAGATTAAGTAAGTGGCTCTTCTTATTGGTTAATGAGTTTTATAATTTTAATTATGGCTATTTAAAGTCTTTTGACATGTACAGCTTTGTATTCTCCTCCAAACACTAAAAATAAAATTTACTGCTCATGGAAAGTAAAACATTGTTGATTCTGGATTTAAATGTGTCCTCTTTTAGGTTCCAAAAGACTTCTTTTTCCCCGACCTTTATTGTATTCAGTTCTTTGGGATGAATCTGCAAATAAGTAAAGCCATAGTTTAAAAGGTTCCAATTGAGAAAAAAGTATGGTTAATTCAGGGTACTTAGAGTAAAAAGTAATTTGAATCCATTAGTAAATTAAAAAAAAATTAAAGATTTGAAAAAACTATCACTATTGTTCTCTCTTTAATATATATTATGTGTTATATGTGTGTACATATTGCACATCTATGTGAAAAATTTTATTAAAAGCTCTGTTTTAATTGGCTTATAGATAAAAGGTTGCTCATAAATTTAAGCTGTTAAATTAACCCAAATTATATTTTCGGTTCACTTGTCCTAAATAAATCTCTGTACCAGATGTTTTAAACTTGTTGGCAGAAAGAAACCAAAAATGTTTTTAAGTCATTGACATGTTTATGCTTGGGTTTGCTGGCCAAACAAATTATGCTTGGTTTTAAAAATTTATAAACATTAGACCCTTTGGTAAATATTTTTATAAGCTATTATTTTATAGTTAAAATTACTTGCTGAGTTTTCATTTGCTATTAAGTTCTTGATAGTAAGCAATTTGAGAAGCTTCTGTTCTCTTCAAGATGAAAAACTGATTCTGTTCTGAAGGACTCTCCATCAGGATATACAATTTGATCTTCAGATCTTATGAAAGGGATGGTTAACAATTTTCTGTAATAGTGCTTGGCCACATATCAAAGGACAAATGACATAGCCTAAATAAAAGCTGACATTATGATATGACTTTACAGCTGAATTTATTTTGCCATGGACACAGTAAACAGGTAAGACCTCCCTTTTCAAACCAAACTAAGCGAGAGATACCAAGTCTTACTAATTATTTCAAAATTTATACACAGTTTGGATAAGGTGGTTTTCATGTTTGATCTTATCTAGAAAGACATAGCTTTCCTTGCAGACATTGTCTTATCTCATAGGAAAAACATTGCCAGAACATGCCTGTTGCACAGGTTTCTAGCTCAGGCCACCAAAGATTAGTGAAAGGATTGATCACTCTCTTGGCTAATGTCCTGAAGGCTCCTCTGTGGTCTACTATAACAAAAACCAGGAAAAAGAGGAGCAAGCTAGGCAACAGGATAAAAATGTAAAGATGGGTGACAGGCCAATTAATCACAGCTTTACACAGTGATCTGCCATCAGGGTGACCCAACAAGGCCATTCCACCCAGAATGCCATTGGTTTTCAATGTGGAAAGCCAGGGCTTCAGGCAGACAGCAGTTACAACAGAAGCCAGTGTCTGAAGAGCCCTGTCATCTCTGCCAGCCAAGGGCTGTGTCACTGGAAATGGAACTGACATGGAGTTAGAAGACTCGTAGGTCAGACTCACAGATTTGTTGGCTCTGAACTGAAAAGACCTACTCTACCCAGCTTCCAAAGTAACTATCACCATCAGGTGGACAGCCTAGGGTCAGTAACATTGCGGGCAGAACTGCAGATCTGCATTTAGAGATCCTGTCTATCTCTACTGACCTCCTATTCAGGCCAACTCTGCTCCCAGGCCAGCTGAAAATGGAGAGTCAACAGGGTCTGTTCCCTAAGGAGGTCATACCGCCATCCAGTCTCTTCCAGTATCCAATGTAAAGAGATAGATAGGTCTGGGTCTCATATACCTGTCCAGGCCTTAATGCCAAATGATTATTATCAAGACCCTCCTGTCAGTTTCTATTTGCCTCTAAATGAAAAAACTCCTCCTGGTTTGGACAGCACTTTTTGTAGGCTCTCTAATAATGACTCTGCCCTTTGTTTTAGATCCTGTGTATTTAATCGGCTTGTTAGATTTGTTTTCTCCAGACTTAAAGAAATAAAATTTTGCATGTCTATGCACATGAAACCTTGGATGGAAGCAGGTTCTGCAAGTTAACACTACAGCCCCCTGGAGAGACCACCTCCTGTTGGAGCCCAGTTTTGACTGCCATTCAACACTTCACACCCTCAGGGGCCCCTGGACAACAATCTGCTGTCAGCAGGAAGTAGCCGGGATGAGATTGACATTCTGGGTCTCTACAGTAGTAGTAGAGTGTGGATTAAAAAGTGATGGTGGGAAGTTGCTGAAGTGTCCGTAGGTGCTGGTTCAAGTCCTATCTGTTCCACTTCCAATCCAGCTCCCTGCTAGTGCACCAGCTACCTGCTAATGCACCTGGGAAAGCAGTGGAAGATGTCCCAAGTACATGGGGCCCTGCATCCATATGGGAAAGCCTGAGGAAGCTCCTGATTCCTAGTTTTGAATCAGCCCAGCTCCCAATGCAGCAATCTGGGGAATGAACCAGTGGATGGGAGATTCTCTCTCTCTCTCTCTCTCTCCCTCTCTCTCTCTCTCTCTCCTATTCTTCTCTGTATTTCTGACTTTCTAATAAATAAAAATAAAATTTTAAAAATGAAAAAGAAAAAAGAAACCCGAGCAGGACAAGACCAACATTCACAGAACTGAGAGATGGAAGGGGATTGTTCCAGCCTGCTCCAATATAATCTGCTCTCTGAGTTAAGATCAGTAGCAGTACTAGCTGCTTTTAACTGGATAATGAACTCTCAGTGTTGGACTATGGTGAAGTTTAGAATCTCTGAAGAAAAAGGCAAAAGTCTATTTCACTCACCTTTCTGATGGTCTTCAATAAACCCCCAAGAAATGTAGATTTTTCTTTCCAGAAAATTTTTAGAAATGTTACAGCTCTTTTGTGTTGCAGGTCCTTTCCACCAGGTTCATGGCCAAGAAGAGTTAGACACATGGACAAGAAAGTGTGAACAATGCAAAGAAAGTTTATGAAATGAAAGAAAGTGAAAGATTGAGTTCTAGGCATCCCTGGGTCCCAGAGGGGTTGCTGATGAAGACTTGATATCTAGGGGTTTTTCTATGTTTTTATACAGGGAGCTTTCCCTGATTGGTTACTGTGTTGGCTAATAAGATGAAAACCTCTAGTACTAGATAAGAGCCACTCAGGGAGCAGTTGCCAGAGTCATCTTTTTTGCATAGATCTGCTAATGAGCTGAAATTGAATCACTCCTAGCCAGTCACGCAGAGGTAATAGCCATTTAGAGGTCAGAACTGGAGTACGTGGCAGATTGCTCAAACAGCTCCATGGTGGGCAGGGCCATTGAGTGAAGTGACCTTATCTTGTGATTGTGCTGATTACATTATTCTTCCTTGTGACCACGTGTCCCTCTGTATCCGTCTGCATTTAGAACCCATCTGTCTCTTGTATATCACAGGAACTTGGGCCTGTTATTCCGAGCACGTTAGCAGGGAGCTGGATTGGAAGAGGAGCAGCTGAAACTTCAACTAGTGCTCATATGGATGTCAGTGTTGCAGGTGGTGGCTTAACTCACTGTATCACAATGTTAGCCTTGCAAGGTTTTAATAGCGATATCGAGATAAAGCAGTTAATGAATACCGGTCACTGCCTAGAAATTGGAGAGAAATTGTACATCCATTCTTTTATTCTTCATGCAACTACTCATGGATAGATGCATATTTATTGAACTTTTATTAACCAACACCATTTTACTACTTTTAACTCTGTAGAGTCCATTTCTGTGATCTGAAAAAATTGGAATA